TGGCATACACAGGTAATTAATTTCCATATACTTCAGAGAGACTAGACACCAGGATTCTTTGAAAGGGACTAGCAGCAGGTTATAGTTGCCTGTTAACAGATAGGCTGAACCATGCTCTTTGCTTTCACTTGCACAAACAGATGATAACATAAAACTACATACGGTACATGGTTATGATTTCAAGCAGAATCTCTCTAAATCAGTTAAATTTTTGCTCTTTCATTTCATTTCCTAGGCTCTCTGGCCTCTCCAATGGGGATATGATCAGAGCTGTTCCTTATCCCTGATAAACAGTTTCAGGGTTTTGACTGACTGAGGTTGGGAGCAGTGTTCCCTCTAAGCTGAGTTAGTGTGAGCTAGCTCACAGTTTTTTAACCTCCAGCTCACACATTTTTGTCTTTGCTCAGGAAGGAGGGCTCCAGAGCAAACTAATTTATGCAGTAGACAAATTGCTCGCTCACAACTTTAATGCCAGTAGCTCACAAAGGAGTAATTTTACTCACAAGCCTCCACAGCTTAGAAGGAGCATTGGTTGGGAGAAGTGCAGGGTTTGGGCTTTTTTTTAATCCTCTCCCATAATATATTTCCATTTTTTAAAAGTGTAGGAAGATCCGTTCATAGCTGTGCTGGGTGCACTGAGTTTGACCCTTCTCTGGCCTGTTGGCAAACAACAATATTTACATCTTCTACAGGAGATGCTGTCCATGGACAACTGGTGCTGATCCAACCAGACAGCAGGGGCTGATTTCCCAGGGCCAGATAGGGGCCCAACAGTTTGGCAAGTGGAGGGAAAAACCACCATAAATCATCCCTATACTTAACAAGATTCAAATTTTGTTTAGCAATTCCAGAGTGAGCATAGAAGCCGATCTGTTTGCTTACTGCAAAGGACTTGCCCAGGTATTACACAGGATGCGATGGAAACAGTGAGTAGTCAAGAATGGACCCAGCTCACCAGAAGATGTCTTAGGGACTTGGATTATGAGCGCACGCTGATGAGAGCCCGCAATGTTTATCATTCTCAGTTGGCATTCTCCCTCCAACACAAATGCCAAATTATTTATCTGAATTAACTATTCCAAAGCATAGAATGGCTTTTATGCTAGCGCACCTGAATGCCCTACCTAGTGACGCTAGGAAGATTCAGTGGAATTCCATATTCAGATAGACTCTGCAATTGTGGTAGCAACAAAATTGACTCTGTGGACCCCATCTTCTTTGATTGTCCTAAATTCTCAGAACTAAGAGCTGGCATGACTAAACACGAAGGCACACGGAACGCTGTTACCTTCCCACCGAAGTGGTACCTATTTACCTACTTGCAATTTCTTGCTTTCGAACTGCTAGGTTGGCAGGAGCTGGAACTAGTGAGACGGGAGCTCACTCCGTCATGCGGCAACTCGGGTCTCGAACTGCTAAACTACCGACCTTCCACAGCCTGCAGTTCAGCGTCTTAACCACTTGAGCCACCGCAGCTCCTGTTGTTAAGTTACATGATAACTAACTTTTAGGTTCTCCTCCCTGGGATGAGGGTGTGCTGTTTATGACTGAGGTTGTAAAAACAGTAAGAAGTAAAGTAAAGCAAAAGGGGATGCAATGACCTGGGAGAGCCTTTCCCCTCAGTTCAAGCTGTCACAGAAGGAGGCAAAACTTAGAACAGAGGTGCCCCAGGAAGGGAATTTTGGAGGCTACCAACCCCATTCCTAATGACTAAGGGCCCCCAGGCTGCTATGCTATGGGACCCAACCTGTAAGAACCTCAGCAACCCCATACCACCATGTAATGCCCAGCAAATACATTTTTGTTGCTAGCCTAAAGGAGAAAGCTATGGCTCCAGTTCAAGGCTATGTGTGTGTGGGGGGGGGCGCTCAGAGGACAAAACCTGAGGTACCCTGGTCACCCGGGGCCAATGGAGATGGGAAGGTCATGTGATTTGCTTTCAGATGATGTTTGGATTCAGTTTGGTTGTGTGAGGGAGGGGGGAATTTGTGCCCCAATAAGATGACCGCCCCGGCAGACTGTCCCTGAGGGGGAATGTTCCAGAATCACACACATTCCTTATTCCCTTCCCCTCACCCTCAAGTGGTTAAGACCAGGGGTCATTTCGTAGAAAAAGAGGTGCAGGAGCTTATTAGCATACCTTATTTGTGTACCTTATTTGCATATGCCACACCCCATGACATCACCGGACGTGCGTCAGAAGGCAACACCCACCGCTCAGGCTTCACTGGACTGTTTTGGATAGCTAGCTATTGGGGGGGGGGGACACGCAGAACTGCCCTCACAGAGGAGGGGGAGCTTGTACCTGAAGGTGGCCGGGGGGGGCGCTTGACCCGAAGGGGCCGGGGGGGGGGCTCTGCAACTTACCTTGCTGCTTCTTGCTCCTCGTGGTCCAACTGAGGACTGCTGGGAGCAGGGGGTAGGGCTTGTTGCATGTGCCCGCCCCCTGGGCTCCTTACTGCCGGAGCTCCACTCCTGTGCGCTCCCGCAGGAAATTACCCCTGGTAAAGATGCTGAACTGCAGGCTGTGGAAGGACGGTAGTTCAGCAGTTCGAGACCTGAGTGTGCTGCATGACAGAGTGAGCTCCCGTCTCTAGTTCCACCTAGCAGTTCAAAAGCAAGAAATTGCAAGTAGATAAATAGGTACCACTTCGGTGGGAAGGTAACAGCATTCCGTGCACCTTGATGTTTAGTCATGCCGGCCACATGACCACGGAAATGTCTTCGGACAGCGCTGGCTCTTTGGCTTTGAAACGGAGATGAGCACCGCAACCCTAGAGTCGGACTCGACTGGCTTTCGAGCAAGGGAACCTTTACCTTTTATACCCGACATACAATGGATAGCCTTACATTGTTCAGATGCTTCTGAAGTTTTTACTGCTAGGTGAGGCCAAGTTTATCACACAGCCTTATCCCTGAAGGGATCGGCATATTCTGGCCCCCAGACCCAGTGTCTGAAGAATATATAGTGGCCCTCCATTGGTCGCCCTTCCCTGTTGAAGACTTGACAGGATGGTTCGTGTCTTTTAATAGGAAGCTGCTAAGCCCCATAAGCACTGAGGTGAATGATTTACATGCACACACCCTGACTCTGCTGACACCCCCCCAGGCCTTCTAGAATTATTAGGGAAGGGAGAAGCACAGGTAAATAGGTGAAATGTCAATTGCTCAAGCTGTTTTCCCACCCCAGGACCTTCCACTGGCAAGAAAGGGAAAGCTTGCAAACTGAAGATCAGCCCAGACAGAAGGTTTAGTAAACTCGGTACATAGAGGGCTTGCAGAAGGCTCACTTACTGCACTGTCTCCTTATGCCACAAAAGTGGCATTTCCCACACAAAATGACTTCAAAATCCACTGGCTGCACATCTGTAGTTCCTGATCCCTCCACTTCCTTTTCCAAGAACCCCCAAAGATCCTGGCATGCCAGACTCCCCCAATCCCATCCTCTGGTCCATTGAATTTCATGATCCTTCCCACAAAGCCTCCATCATCCATCACTTGCAGCATTCGTGCTTGGGTTGCCAGACTCCAGGTGGCACCTGGGGATCTCCTGCTATTACAATGTATCTCTAGACAACAAAGATCAGTTCCCCTGGAGAAAATGGCTATTCTGGAAGGTGGACTCTATGGCATTATATAGGCAATGTTCCCTCTAAGATGAGTTAATGTGAGCTAGCCCACAGTTCTCTAGCCTCCGGCTCACACATTTTTGTCTTCGCTCAGGAAGGAGGGCTCCAGAGCAAACTAATTTATGCAGCAGCCAAATCACTCGCTCACAACTTTAATGCCAGTAGCTCACAAAGCAGAATTTTTGCTCACAAGACTCCACAGCTTAGAGGGAACATTGCTATTGAGGTCCCTCCACTCCCCAAACTCTACCCTTCCCAGGCTCCACCCCCCAAATCTCCAGATATTTCCCAACCCAGAGCTGGCAACCCTAGTTAGTGGGGTCCTAAAAACATCCATGCAGCCAGGGAATGGCTGACTTATTAATACAAATGCCGCATCAGGCACCAACCAAACAGCCCAGATTCAATGCACGGAATAAAGGCTGCAAATCTGCAACCACCCAAATAACCCTCCCCTTGGCTTATCCCAATGAAATTGCCCCGCCCCACACCCAGTTCTTGCAGAATTTAAGAATATTTCTGTGCCAGGATGCGAAGGAATACTAAAGGAAGACAAGGGTTTCAGAGAGAGATGAGGTCACTGAGATATAGCTCCTCTCCTTAGTCACCAAAGACCCTGTCTTTGCTTTCAGCTGAACATGAATCAAAAAAATTTCCTCTCTTTTTTGTGTGTAGCCATGAGAGCCTGAATCTCTCTCATAACTTATGCTCAGTGTTTCATTCAAGTCTCAGCTGTGATCCTCATGAACTTCTCTTTCTCTCCCCCCCCCCCGTTCACACACACACTCGAGAATAAGAAAGCAGGCATATTTCAAGAGTGCTTAGGGATCAGGAAAAGGAGTGAGATTTTATTTTGGCTCTAGGAGATCCTTTTGTTATGGGTTCATGTACTCCACTGGTATCAGGTCTTTGGGACCCAGCCAGTGATAATGACACCCTGACCCCGGAGGGGCTGAAAAACCTCTCTAATTAATTTGATTTTGAAATCTTGGAGATTTCATCCCTTGAGACACCTTCCCGTCAGCCTCCCACTCACCGATCCCATTTTCTCAGTCAGGAAACTGAAGGACAGTAATGAATAGACACAATCACTTTCCAAGGAAAAAATTACAAAATCAGAAGAAAAACCCGGAAAGAGAGGGTCTGTGCCCAAAAGTTCTGAACGATCATACCTCAAACTCCTGGCTATCAGCCCCTTGCGAGAGTCTGTTCCCCTGTCAGAGAATCCATGAGTCTTGAAAGAAAGTTACATCCCCCCACGCAACTCCCCCACTAGCAGGTTCTAGGATCCTACTGAATACAACCATCATCACAACTGCCAGCACCAGGGTACCGTGGCTGCACATTCTTCAGCACCATACAAGTTCCTACCTGGGCAAGGGTTTGGATCTGCTCCACATCAGAGGAAACCCTCACCTGCTCCCTGCAGCCTCTGCCAGGGACTGTGCTCTCAGAACTCTTCTTCCTCAAATGCCTTCCCATCTCAAAACAAGCTGAACTTGTTTCCACTGGTAGGGCTGAGGCTGTGGCTGATATAAAGTACCCACTCGACACACACCCTGCCCACGGAAGGAAGATGAAGGAGAGGGTGGGAGAACACTCTGGGGCAGGTGAGACAGATGTGCGGCAGGCTAAAGCAAGGGGGCTTTTCCCCATTTAATGCACAGTGACAGAATCCTTGTTCCCCACCATCTCAAAGTCATGTCTGCTTTACCCCAGAACTGAAGAGCATCCAGCTATAATACTTCACTGCATCCTCATAGGTTGTTTTTTTTTTAACTGAATAGTAATTTATTTCGGCTTGCATGACCAAAAGTCTTAAGCACACTTATACACATTTATAAAAGTACCATTCATAGAAAAACATCAAAACTTATTAAAACAATACTAAGTCATAAATAGTAGGGAGCATTATCCAAATATAAGTGTATTACAGTAGGTGGAATCCTCAGACAAAATAAATCCTCAAGCGGGTGAACACAGAATAAGATCAGAAAGGTTTGGACATTCCCCTCCTTTTTCCTTTTTCTTGTTTGCCACCAGGGCCAAAAACATAGCTACTGCTTTGGTAACTGAATTATCGACTTTGTCAGATAAAAGAACAGAAATTGACCAGGGAAGGGAGGGAAGCTTTTCTTTTATCAAGATAGGTATAATATACTTCTGCCTCTCCATATTCCAGTTGGGGCAAGTTAGCAATATATGATCCATCGTCTCCACCCTACCTTGATTACAATCGCATGTCCATTCAGAGAACGGGATGCCATGAAAGCGGCCAGAGACTATGTTCGACGGGAACGTGTTCAGTCTAGCCAGTGTGAAGGCTCTACGAAGTACTGGACTTTTGAGTGTAACAGTAAGTAGGGATCACAACCGGCGGTGGGAGGCCGAGGGATAGGCCCGAGCAGGTGCGCCGAGCTCTGCAAAGTGTACTGCTGAAGTCCAGTTCCCTTAATTTTGTTTTTATGAGTTTAAAGACCTCCTTCTGCTGTAAGGAGGTAATACCAATATTCAAGGATTCTAATTTGGATACAATTAGCTTAGTTCTATTGCTTGTGTAGGTATCTCTCTGAATCAAGTGAGTGAAGCCTGATCCAATAGGGGAAGCCTCTCGACTTTCTTTATTGATAAACAAATTAAATGCTAACTGCCATGCTCTTCTCTCAATTGATGGCTGCACAAATTCTACCCTGAGGGCCGTACCTGCCACGCATCTCGGCACTGCCGCGATGTCTCTAAGGAACATGTGGAGAGGGGAGTCTAGTTTTTCCGAAACGCCTTCTATCCACACTCCACAGCCATATAGAAGTTGTGGGGCAACTTTAGCGTTAAAGATCCTAATAGCTGCCGGGATGTGTTTGGCCCCTTTTGAGCTGAATATAGCAATGGGTACGAACCTGCTCATGAGCCAAAATCTGGCACAAACTTGGGCCGGTTTGGAGCCCCCAAACCAATGTTTGGGGAAGGTGCCTTCCCTGAACATTTACCAGACTTTTGTCTGTTTCAGCTGTACGGGGCCATTTAAACCTAGCAGCTGAGCAGCATCGGGTCCACTCATCAGCGGTTAGGTTTAAATGGCTCGCAGCCACGGCCAGGAGAAAGGGGGAAATGAATTCACTGGAGTGGCTCGGTTTGGTTCAGGGCCTTTTGGCTCGGTCCAGTTGCCACCCCAAACCCTGAACCGAACCAGGTTTTTTCAGTTCATGCCCATCCCTAGTTGAATAATCAGTCTGGAATATTCACCCCCTGCAGATCCATGCTCAAAATCAACCACCACAAATTGTCACCTGTTATAACATCCGAGTTCCAACACTACTGCTTTGCCTGTTAAAACACCTCCTGTTGTACGCTGCTGGCTTGTTCTGAGTTCACAAAACTTCCAACAGTACCTGCTTGCAAGATACAAGCTCAACTGCCTTACCTAAGACTCTGTGAGCGATATTTACTATTCAGTCCATGAAATGCTACGAATTCTGGGAACAATATGGGAAGCAATAAAGATGTACAAGTGTTACGTCAGCCAGGTGTGAAAAGACCCTTTCTGAGATATCAGGAAATGCACATTTCTAATTTGATACTTCAAAAGCTCTTTACTGCAGCGCTACAGAAATGTCATACTCAGTTAAGGTTCTGCACGACCAAGTTGTGGATCCCTTATTTGCTTGATACAGGCTTGCCTGGAGCAAATAAGAGTCAAAGCTGATGTTACATGGCAGATGTCTGTAACAGACTTTTGATTTCTTTTTCTAACGAGCCAGTGTGGTATAGTAGTTAGCATGTCAGGTTCGAATCCCTACCCTGCCATGGAAACTTCCTGGATCACCTTGGGCCAGTCGTACCCTTTCTACCAAGTGAGGATACCTGCACAGCCTCTTATGATTTTAGGGGACCGGGTTTGTTTTGACCTGTGAACTTTCCCCTCAGTTACAAGATGTTCTTAGGGTATCAAGTATAAGGCTTTGGGTTTGCTACCATGAGGTAAGTTTTGCGGTGTACAAGAAGAACACAGAGATCACTGAGGCAGACATCGTATGTAAATAAGTAAGATCTATTTATTTCCAGGTTGTTTTTCAATAACAGATCAGCAGGCTTCCACTGACTAGCCACCAGTGTTCCCTCTAAGCTGAGTCAGTGTGAGCTAGCTCCCAGTTTTTTAGCCTCTGGCTCACACATTTTTGTCTCAGCTCAGGAAGGATGGCTCCAGAGCAAACTAATTTATGCAGTAGCCAAATTGCTTGCTCACAACTTTAATGCCAGTCGCTCACAGAGTAGAATTTTTGCTCACAGGACTCCATAGCTTAGAGGGAACATTGCTAGCCACTAGGTTGGATCCTGTCATACATACAGGATTCCACCGGCACTAGGCTGTTCTTTCCCAAGAGTTAGACTAAATGGTACAAGGTCTGCTCATCACCAGAGACAGGCCTCACAACAGGGTACTCTGTCCTCTTTGAGCCTCTCTGTCCTCTGAGAGCCAGTTTGGTGTAGTGGTTAAGTGCGCGGACTCTAATCTGGGAGAACCGGGTTTGATTCCCTACTCCTCCACTTGCACCTGGCTGGATGACCTTGGGCAAGCCATAGTTGTGATAAGGGCTGTCCTTGAAAAAGAGCAGTTTCTGTCAAGAGCTCTCTCAGCCCCACCTACCTCACAGGGTGTCTGTTCTGGGGAGGGGAAGGAAAAGGAGTTTGTAAGCCGCTCTGAGACACCTTCAGGTAGTAAAGGGCAGGGTGTAAATCCAATCTCTTCTCTTCTTCTTCCAGAGGCAGAGTTAAACCGCCCTGCCAAACTACCAAGCAGAGCTACCTTCAATCTGGTCTCTTGCTAAGACAGACCCAAAACCAGGGGTCATTTCGTAGAAAAAGAGATGCAGGAGCTCATTAGCATAACTCATTAGCATATGCCACACACCCCAACATCACCGGAAGTGTGTCAGAAGGCAACACCCAGGTTCCACTGGACTGTTTTGGATTGCTAGCTATGGGGAGGGGGACATGCAGCTCTGTACTCGCAGAGGAGGGATAGCTTGTACCTGAATAAAACTTGGTCTTAAAGGTGCCACTGGATTGTTTTGGACCAGGGGGGGGGAGCTTTGCAACTTACCTGGCTGCTTCTTGCTCTGACTGAGGGCTGCTGGGAGCAGGGGTGGGGCTTGTTGCATGTGCCCGCCCCCTGGGCTCTTTACTGCCGGAGCTCTGCTCCTGTGCGCTCCTGCAGGAAATGACCCCTGCCCAAAACTATCACTGTCCTCTTCCTGAGGCAAATCTGAACTAAGATTGCTATTATGCCTCCCTTCAGTGTTCCACCCCCCTCTGAAAGGTGACTGGATTCTGGAGCAGCACTCCCATAGGCCCAGGGATGGAGCAGCTGGCAATTTTCCCTTTCAGGGGCAGGACAGTCTCCTGTCCATCACACATACACTCTCAGTCTAACCTACCTCACAGGGTTGTTGTGAGGATAAAGGGGAGGAGAGGAGAATGATGTAAGCCACTTTCAGTCCGGGTTGGGGAGAAAGACAAAGTATACATGAAAGTAAAATAAATAAAAATATTTTTATTTGTTGTTCACAGAAGTCTAAGGAAGGTGATTCTTAATCAGAAAAATTGCCTCTTGTGAAAAGGTTCGATGAACTTTTCTTCAATTAGTGCTTTCATTTTTTTTTCTTTTTAAAAAGTGTGTGTGTGTGTGTGTGTGTGTGTGTGTATTTGCTTGCCTGGAAGTCATGGTTGACCTGGCGTCCCCTACTGGGGGCTTGGACATTTTTCAGAGAGGCGGCTCGATTAGCCTGCCTTTGTGCATCCCAGCCCTGGTATTCCCTGGAGGGTGCCCTTCCAAGTACTTGTCAGGGCTGGCCCTTTTTGGTTTACAAGATCTGATGACACTGGGCTTGCCTGGGCTATCTAGGTCAGAGCTTTTATTTTCAAAGGTTAGGAGAGTTTGCCAGGTGACATCAAATGTGGTCATTAAATTGCCTCCAAACTAGAATTAGATTAAAGAAGAGAAGAAGAGACTGGATTTATACCTCGCCCTTCACTCGGAGTCTCAGAGCGACTTACAAACTCCTTTCCCTTCCCCTCCCCACAGCAGACACCCTGTGGGGTAGGTGGGGCTGAGAGAGGCCTGACAGAATCTGCTCTTTTCCAAGAGCAGCTCTGACAGAACTATGGCTTGCCCAAGGTCATCCAGCAGCTGCAAGTGGAGGAGTGGGGAATTAAACCCGGTTCTCCCAGATTAGAGCCCACGCACTTAACCGCTACACCCTTTGGGGCCATTGTGATACTAAAAATGGCTAAACAGCAATCCTAATCAGGTCTACCCAAAACCCAAGTCAGGTCTGTTCAGTGGTTCATAGGGTTGCACTGTAACTTAGGGACGTGTGGGCAAATGGGCTTGCAACTTCTATGGGTTTATTAGCAAGCCTGATTTTCTTAATACAGAATCATTT